ATTCAATTATCATTAATATTTCACAGCTACCTTACTGCATTCAACCAACATTCGGTGTCGATATTTTATCACCGCCTTAATGAGTGTAAACATATGTACTCATGTACGTTAATACTTTGTTTTCACACACAGTAGCACTTTAAACCTGGTGACGCATCCTTAATGGTACTTTACACAGCTGCACTATTTTTTCCATAACTATCTCTGTGGTTTGACTTCAGTTTTCGAGTTACATATTCGCATTTGAAAATTAGCTACTACTTACTTGTATCAGAGCTTTTTTTTGCTAATTATGTCTTCTGCTTATTGTTTTAAATAGTTCGTTTTATATTTAAATAAACATTTTCAACATTTACGCCAAAGTTGTTTACCTCTATTGGAAATTACAAAGCTACAAGTTTCAAAGGGCTAAAAAATCGCTTTGGTTTTTGAGAATTTTGTTTGGTGGCGGATTTTTACACTTTTTTCATATAAGTATGAATTTCTTATAAAAAAGGCGGGAGACCGTCAACAACAAAATTTCGAAATATCAACGCAAGTTTTTGTAAATTGCGCTTGTTATATTAAAAAACCCGAAAGAGTAGCCTCCAAAAAAAAAATTCTCAAAAATCAACGCGATTTTTTAGCCGTTTGAAACTTGCACTTCATTAGACAAAAATTGTATGGGCTATAAAACTGTATACCCAAAGATTTTCTAAAAATTCAGAATAAAAATGATGAAATTTTGATGAAAATTTGTTTAATTTTCCTAAATTTTGTATAAAGCTTGAAACTGTGATTTACACGGTTTTGGTTAAAGCTTAGACGATATTTTCAAGTCACCAAAAAAGTTCCCAATTCGAGCACAGTGTTATTAATATATCGTGTAGTTATATGTATTATAGTGACGCTCGTTAAACTCTACATTGAAGAAGAGAATAATATTTCAGGTCAATTTAAATATAAGATTAAAAAATAATAACAAGCTCAATAAAATTATTGAAAGTATTTATTACTAGGCCAAAAATATCCAAAAACAAAAATATTTTTTTTATTTTTTATTCTCTGTAGAAAAGATGGGGTAAATTTTGACATGATTTCGTTGGAGCCCTGAAAATAAACCTTAAACGTCTTTCACAATCTCGTCGCATCAAAAAATATCTTCAAAAAATATTTTTTCATCTGCCAACAGGTGAAAAGTTTGGCATTTAAAAATAATTACAACGGGTTGTTTAGCTTTTGTTTTACTCTACAAATTGTCTTGCTTTTTACACATCTTCAAAAAAGTAGGAGGTTATCAAGTCATCGGATTTTTTTTTGTTTTTTTTATGTATGTTTTCGGATAACTTCTGACTACGTTAACCATTTTCGATAACTCTAATCGGAAAGACGATATCACAGGCCTATCCCATACTTATTTGGTTTACCTCCGTTTAATGGATCTTGAAGAAATTAACGGTACTCTTAAATTTTTATATGAGCATTGAAGTCGGTTGTGTTTTTTGTTTAAAAATTAAAAATTAAACGCTTTTCGCAACAGGTACCGTACAGGTAGCGCATTACTTTTACTTACAAATTCTTTTAATCTTTAACATCCGAAAGACTTTCACTTGCAACTAAATTCAAAAAGAAAGAAATACTTAACTTCCTATTGTTTTTAAACAAAAAGTAAATTTAATCGCCTAAAACTATGTTCACATATCAATATTATCTCAATCAAAGCTAGTTTTTTAATCACCCCGTTTACACAGGCAAATCTCAGATTGTTAGCCGTCAAATTTGTTGTGCTTGTTATTCCCACATCTCAAGGAAAATTTATGTTTCTTCTCTGTGCCACTGTGATCACGTTTTTCTGCCATAATAAGCAATATAAATATATTTTAACTTAACATTTTATTAAAAATACCTTTACAAACCTCTTTTACTTGCTAGCGTTCATTTTTGTTTACTTTTACATTTGGCATTTCTCCTCTCTTTCGCAAAAACAATCGATAAAACTAGGATGGACACCGAAAAGTTATCGGTTAAATCTGAGATTATTTTATAATTACAGATTAACAAGGGACGAATTTTATACGGCTAATCTCTTGTTATAATTACAGATTAGGGTGTTAAGCTCGAAAATGAGGATAATCTACTTATATGTGAACCTAGTATAAGACTTTCAAAGCTTCAGGCCATATTTTCTATTTTGCTAAATACATATATTTACGCTTCATATAATATAATAATAAATAAGAAATAGGGTTAGAAGCTAACTAACTGCGTCCGTAACCGCAGCAAGTGCCTTCATCAGCTTCACTGTCATTAAAGCCAGTTCCACTGTTAATGGTCTTAACTATTAAACATAAAAAATAAAGCAAACATGTGACAAGGCAAGAGTGAAAACATCGAATAAAAATTCTCTAGGCGAACACTAACTAGAATAGAGTGAGAAAGTGAAAGACACAACAAATTTTAGCAAATTAAGTTTAATTGCACACATGGCGATCAGGCCAAAAGCGGCAACAATCGAAAGCAAACTGGTAACTATATCGAGCCCTAACCGCCAAAATAACGTAAGCGACATTTTTTTCAAATTTTTTTTTTTTTGATGCAGAAATATTCCTCGATTATCTAGATACATTTCTGCATCAAAAAGAAAATTTTGAAAAAAATTTCGCTTACGTTATTTTGGCGGTTAAGGCTCGATATATTCACATAAATAGAATAAAATAATAAATATAATAACAACAAAGCAAAGTCAAACTCGTTTCGCCATAACAAATGGCAATAGCTTGCTTCTGAGTCGATTTAAATTATTTAAATATTCGCCGCATTAAACCGCCATGCATTTTGTTTTTTCTAAAAACCAGCTAATTACTAACCGATACCGTGTATTTTTGGAATTTTGTACACAGCTTTTGGCCTACGCAATCAAACGCCATGAACAAATAGAATACATTCGAGTATGGGAGCATTCGAAGAGCATATTTCTCTTGTTTACCAATAAATTCGCTCTATCAACAGCTAATTCACAATTTTTACGCTTGCCAATTCATTTATTGCCTACCCTCCTCAAATTTAACAACAAAAAAAACGAAAAAACGAAATCAAACACAAAATTATGCAAAACATTGGAAAATCAAAGCAAACAAAAAATTTCAGCAACAAACTCACGAAATGCAATAAATATTTACATATTCATACTTGTTTGTGCGCGCACTTATGTATGTATGTATGTATGTATGTATGTACGAGTATGCAAGCGAAATACCAAGTTTTATTTAAAATGAACAAAGTAAATAATGTCTACTAATGGCAAAGGAAGGTGGTCTGTGGGGGCCAAGCAAACAAACGCAAGAATGCAAAATCAACCAAGTTCAGGTTTTTTTTTTGCGTTTTGGTTTTCCTGCTTTTATAGCACGCGCCCAAAAGCGCTAATCTAAGCCACGCACGACAACAACGATCGGCAAGTCTCAGAGGCAGCAACAATAAATGCGGTAAACGGCATTAATCATAGACTATAATTAGGCATTAGTTTGAAATATCAGCCATAATAATACTTACTTAGCAATAACAATAATAAAGTTGTACAAGCCAAAGTCGCAGGCAAGTTATTCGTCCGTGGCAGCAATAGCAGCAAATGTAATGCAGCTGTGCGCATGCGTAAAGGCGCTGAAACATGTGTGTGTGTGTGTGTGCCCATTGGTACGTGCGGGTTTAGTTATTGCACTACTTTACATTGACGCTGAGTGCTGGGTGCTGAGTTGCTTGGAAATGTTATATATTTAACTGCGATGAGGAATGGAAATAATGCATTTTTTAAAGTATTAATCACATAAGAATTTATGTTTGTATGTAGGTACATATGTTTACGTGAAGTGGCAAATCAAAGTAAAATAACATAAAGGTGCATTGTTCTCTCGCAACCGCCAAAGCGTTCTCCTCTTTGTTCGTCGTCGTCGTTCATGTTTCTGCGGCCTAATAGAACGGACATGATAAGAGATTTGTCCGTAAAGAACAAAACGCGAACATATCTCCCAGGAACGCCCTCAAGAAGAACAGAATGAGAATGAAACTTTCTGAGCGTTTTCAATGCGAACAAAATAACGAACGAAATTATCGAAAAAGAAAGTCTGAGGAACGTTCTGCTAGAGCACAAAACGAGAGCAAAAGTTTTGAGAAATGAAATGGGTGTCTGCGTGTTGGGATGAAAAATCGTTTCAGTGAGAACCATAATTGTTAATTCCAAGCCAGATGAAAGCTGGATCATTTCAACTTCCAGTTCGTTTATCATTAGTTTGTAGTGTCCCTTTAAGGAACAATTTTTCATTTTCTGTACAAGAAAAGTTCGTGTCTTAAATCTTTCGTTGCCTTACCCATGGTAGCCTCACAATGAGGTACTTAGTTTCAGAAAATATTGGTGTAGTAATGCAGCGAAAGTTAGAGTCCAAAGTGGTACAAAGCGGACTCTGCCTTGAGATTTTAATATTTCTTTAACCCATGTCTTGCACCCATAGTAAGGAAACCAAATCAGCTAATCGATAGACCTCCACAATATCCACATCAACAGGCACTGCATACTTACTGTATGTACATACATATATTCATATTGAATCATGTGAAATTCCTCAACATTTTCAAAAAAATAAAACAACAATCAACAGCAACCCGCGCAAAAAGAATTATTAAGCTCTTGAACGAAATACGTGTATTGCAGACTCCAAAAATAACAAAACAAACAACAGCTAAAGATTGCAATAACTTCCAGCAGATACAAATATTTTGAGATATTAAAGAGCATTAAAGGCAAGATTGAAAACAGCAGGAGCAGAGAGCGAAGCAAAGATCAACAAAATAGCAAAGTTAACGGCAGCTGCCAAAGAACAACAAAAGCCGCTGCTTGCCAATAAAACGGCATTCCGGCAGCCAGAGCGACTCACGCGAAAAAAGCGTGCTAATAAACGTAAAGACTGAGGCTGACGCCGTAACTGAAGCTGTGGTTGAGACAGAGGCAGTGCCGCCAGAGTCAAAGACGTCGACCGGTTGGCTCAAAAATTTAAATGCATTTTGTATAAAATTGTTGGGCACCCGTGCGGCGGGTTTAGTTCCTCACCGAATGTAAACGCAACTAGTCACAACCAAAGTGAACGGTACTTACGAACACACACACACGCACGAGTGATAGCTCGCGTTGGCGAATTGAAATTGAAACTAAGGCAACAACAAAGGCAGCAATCAAATATTTTATTAATTTATTAGTGAACGTAGCAGAAATCGTACGCGCGGCTTTGAAAACAAAAAAAAACTCGAAAGCGTTTTAGAATAATTTTACGAGTAGACGCAGCGGCTAAGAGATCGTTAACCATTTGTTTGTTGACGGTTGACAGTGGTTGGTGGTAATTGACTAGACTACGACCGCAGAACGGGAAAGAAAATAACAAGGAAAACCAGAAAATTACAAAAAAGCCGCGCCGCTGAAAGTGAATTCAAAGCTGGTTGAACTAAAAGAAAAAAAAAAGATAAACCAAACTGGTTGCGCATAAATTGAAAATTCATACGGTGCTGCGAGCCGAGCATACACGCGAGCGAGTTTCAAGAAACAAATCAATACCGCGCTAATCGCAGAAACGGAACGACGCGAATAACGACATTCCATCGAAAGGGAAAACATTCAAAAAAAATATATAAGTAAAATAAAAATCGCAAAATTCCAAAAACCTCTAAAAAAAAAAAACACGTGGATAAATATGCTAACACTACACGCCCTAAGCGGATATAGGCTGCCCTGTGTGTTGGCGGTATTGCTAATTTTCAGCATGCCAGCCGCCCAAACAGCGCCAGCGGGTGAACCCACAGCGGTTGCGGAAGGATTAGCAGCTACGTTGGAGATAAGCAAACTTAGTGCGGAGTCCGCGAACAGCATAACCACTGACTTCTCCGCAGTAAACGTGGAGAACGCGCAGCCATATGCCACAACTGAGGTGGACACCGAAGCCGAGCTGGCGCCCACATCACTGCCCATGACGAGCGAGGAAATAGCGCTGGCCGAAGTGGCAGCGGTTGTGGCGGAGTTGACAACAGCGGCAGCTGCCGATATTAAGGCGCAAGAGCAGGCGTCAGATGAGGAGAGACAGTGGCAGGTGAGAAGGAGAGCTGAGGAAGCTAAGCGGCAAGCGATCGATCGAGAAATCGCTAGCGCCGTTGAAATGCTGGAAGACGAGAAGGATAGCGGTGCAGTCTCAACACTTACGACTAGCTTTGCGGATGTAATTGGAACAACCACAACAGCACAGCCGACAACTGCCGCTCCAACAACTACCGTTGGTCCGGCAATTTTGAATGAATTAGTGAGAGCGGCAGCCGCGGCGAATGAGATCTTGGCAGCTGCTTTAAATGCAGCGACAATGGCAGGCACAAATATCACCATCGCAACAACAGCCGATGTGGCTAGTGCAGATACAACAACAACAACGAAACCAGACAGAGCAACAAACACCGAATTGGCGATTGGTGATGGTCTGTTGGCGGTGAGTGACAGTGAAACGCTGCCGGAAGGCGAAGTCACCTGGCAGCCAAGCGAAATTGAGACAACAAGCATAGCAACAACAACAACAAAAGCAATAATGAATATCGAAACGGCAGATGCTGCAACTACCATACCAATAACAACAATAGCATCGGAAACCACGCACAGCGAACCAACGCCCATCGCAAATATTTCAAATGAAATTAACGGTGATAATTTGTTGGATAAATCGTTGGAAAGTGAAGGTTGGCGCGAGGCAGTGACCAATAGCCCACAGCAATTAGTAGTAACTGTAAGGCCAAAAGTGTCAGCGGAACCAACTACTACAACATTGGTCACTGAAGGCACTACCGAAACGCTAGAAGCTCAGAGCAACACAGAGACTGTTTCCTCTTTGGATTCAGCAGCTCTACTTGAACATTTCAATAAAAGCCCAGACAGCGAAGATACCAAGTATTCAATGGAATCAGTAGATCACGAGGGTGCAGAGTCCAAGAAAGTAATAACAACGAAAAAGGCTGAAGAATCAACCGAAACAACGCCACCCACAGCCGAAAATGAAGTCGAAGGAGAAACTAAAGACTTACCTATGGCAGGCTTAGCTGCCACAAGTGCCCATCAGGTCGCAGAAACAGCAACAGATGCAGCGATTAATGTTGAAGCAACGCAGCAAGCAACAAGTGATAAAAACGAACGAAAACATAGCTCAACAAGCGAACCTACTCCGGTTGAGAACTCCATAAAAGCTGCAGAATTTGAAATTGCAAAAGTTGAGGAAGTGAAGCGAGCAAATTTGCCAGAAGAAAGTAACCAGCCGAACGCAGTGGAAAGTGAAGCCCGCGCACCAAATAAATATCTTAACGCTATACGCGAAGAAGTAGGAGATGAAACTGTAGCAACAACAAATGCAATACCAGAAGCGATAACAACTGCCGAATACAATGCAGCTGAGGTGGCAGCAGATACTGCAACAACAACTCCCGAATCAACACTAGCAGAAGAAAAGTTTGCAGCTGAGCCAACAACGAGTCCAGCAGTTGCTGTGACAACTATAACGCCAGAAGAAGACACCATTACAAAAGCCCCCATAGAGCAAAATGTGGCTAATGAAAGCCAAAAGGAAACCGAAAATGATCCTAAAGCAATAATAACTACGAGTACAATAACAAATACAGACGATGAAACAACGATCGCGATTTCGAACGGTGATTCCTTGGTAACAACAACTACAAGCAAAACAACAACAGAAGCGGCAGTAGCTGAAAAAGAGCTTACAAAGGACCAAAGAATAGATGTTCAGGAAGGGTTAGCAAAAACAACAGAAAGTACAAGTGATCCTGGGACAATAGTTTCGGTAACAGAACCTACAGTAACACATCTAGAGGAACGAGTTCACGGAGCTATTGTGTCCGCTATCGAATCTGTCCGCAGCTCAACAGATGTGCCGCTGGCGGCGTTTACAACAATGCCACACTCGATAGAGGAGCTCTTGCACGCCGAGACAACCACCGAAAAAGGTGATTTGGGAACAATTTCGTCTGGTGGCAGCACAGAAAAGGCACGGGAATCAACGACCTTGAGTAGTAATACAGCAGAAAATGCACCTTCTAAGACCAGTGATTTACCAGAAACGTCTGCGGTTGAAAGTGAGAGTATACTTTCAGAAACAACGGCGGCAACAAAAGTTGCCGAGCTGCCGGAAAGCACAGCGGCAACAGCTGAGGAAATTGCGGCAGTCGCAGCAGCAGGCTTACCAACAACAACTACAACAAAAGTAGAAACAGAAACGGAAACGGAAACGCTTGCAGCAACTGAGCAGCTAGAAGCTGAGCTAGGAACGACAACAGAAGCAGCACTAGCAGAGCAGCCACTCTACCGGCGCACTTTGGACGCGCAGCGACATGAAGGGAGCGAGTATGCCAGCGCAACGGAACTAACAAATGTCGTGTCGGTAGCAGGTGCTGAAACAACTGAAGCAACAACAACAACAACAGCAACAGTAGGCGCAATGGAAGTAGGAACCATTATCGCTCCAATTACAACAACAACAACAGCAGGCGCAGATGCCGCGAGATCAACTTTTTCTGTTGCAACAACAAATGCTTCTGAATCTGATACTACATCAACAACAAAAATATCTGAGCCTGAAACTACAACAACCACAACGACAACAACGCCTGCGCCAGAAACAACAACAACAACGGCTGAACCACAAACTACAACAACCACAACGACAACGACAACAACGCCTGCGCCAGAAGCTACAACAACCACAACAACAACAACGCCTGCGCCAGAAACTACAACAACAACGGCTGAACCACAAACTACAACAACCACAACGACAACGACAACAGCGCCTGCGCCAGAAACTACAACAACAACAACGCCTGCGCCAGAAACAACAACAACCACAACGACAACAACGCCTGCGCCAGAAACTACAACAACCACAACGACAACAACGCCTGCTCCAGAAATTACAACGACAACAACACCTGCGCCAGAAACTACAACAACAACCACCACCACCTTGTCGCCAATGAGTCTAATCATTGCCGAGCATGAAGCGCGATCCCTCGAGCGAACCCCACCGCGCGTCAGTCGCATTGTCAGCGACGATGGCGTCGAAGTGCTATCCGGTTACTCGATTGTGCATCACATGCATGCGGCAGCCATGGCGGCGTTAGCTGCGGCAGCAGCGTAGGTACGCCAAACATGGAAAGACTGATCCAGGCTGGATTTAGGTTGTCGGCAGTTTAATTTGTTTTTTTTTTTTTACCCATCAAGCTGTTAGTAATCAGCCGAAGCAGGACAATTCGAAAATAGCCAATATTCACAAAAGTTCACATGCATCACTACAGTGTGATTCATTGCCATAGTAACAACAACAACAACAACAGTCAAAGCGGATTTCGCTAAAACCTGTGGTGCTACATTCATATTTTTTATGCTAAGTAAACGAAATTCAAAAAAAATTTTATTTAAGATGTTTTTCATGCAAAATGTGATACCCCCCAAAAAAAAATTGCATGCTATACTCGTACATACATACATATAATTACTGAAATACATAAAATCATTTTTTTTTTTTGTTCGAAGCATAAAAGCAAATATCCCAAGCAATCAATGAGGCAGTAGGAGCAGTTGCCATTGTTGTTGATTTTAAAACGCAAAGAAAAAGATGACCAAAAAAGAAGAAGAAGAACAACAACAACAACAGCTTCAATGGCAGTTGCTAAAATGAAAAAGGAAGTGTCTACACAAGAAACTAGTTTGCTTCCATAAATTATTGATAATATTACTAAAATAAAAAATTTAAAATAAAAATAATACAAAAATGTGTTTGTATTTATGCTTTTGGAATGTACTGGATCCGTGAGATGATACAAATAGCTAAAATTAAAACTGAAGCCACTAAAGAGCAAAACGAAATAAAATCATGCCGATACTAAGCGTGTTGATGATTAATTTTCTGTTGCTGAGATTCATTTGAATTAATCGGTTTTATTTGTAATTCAAATTCGTATAAATATTTTTCACTATGCCTTAACTTAACTTAAACCGGTATCGCATCAATCGCAAATAAATACGCAAGCTCTTTTCTTCTCCCTTTAATCAAATTCACTTGTGATATAATATATATTTACTTTTTTTTAACGGCATTTAACCCTTTTGCATAATTTCAATTTCATCTTCTTTCAAAACCTATTTTGCGAACACGTTATGAGCCATCGTTTATTGAACCACAAGCATGCTGTTAAATGCAATTTAAATACTATGAGCTTGCGCAAGTCAGCCCCAGTAGGAAAATCTAGATTGGTTTTATGTTTGAATATTGTGGCACTTGGATTTTTGGCCTATTTATTTGTAAATAAAAAGTACTCGAGTTTTCAAGTGTGAAACGCGATTGAGAAAAGGTTTAGTGACACCATACTGCAAAATCAACTTTTTTCTGCAACTGGTCGATGGGCGGTTTTGCAAAGACATCGACGATATGATCTTATAAAGCTGGGAGCCCATACTGATGGTGTCGCTGTAATCACAATGGATGAAGTGAAAGATCAGAATCCAGTGAGGATCCTGAGTGATATGTGATATTATCCTAAATATCAGCAGTAACCAGGGACGAGAACCAGTTTTTAACCGAAAGCGATTTTGAACTGGATTAAGGGCTTATTTATTCCAAATAAATGGACCATTAACCGAATCGAAATTTTCCACAAATGTTTGTTCCGAACCGAAAACCGAACCATTTTTTTTACAAAAGTACATATATATATGTATATTTTTTATTTTTTGTGGACTTATACGTTCGTTGTATGAAGATTTTATCGATAGTGAAATTTTTAGGTGAACATGTTAACTCTCCAGCAAAATCCCAAATGGCATTTTATTCTGACTTTCCAAAGAACCAACCTTTTTTCAGAGAGCTAATGGATTAAGATGTTCTACAAAATTATTCCTCGAGATATTCTCTTACATATACATGAATTCTAACCCTTTTTTCCACTAAAAAGATGCATACGAAAAATTACAAACTTAAAATGGTCATAAAAAAATACTTGAGAATGCAAAAATATTTGGAGGTTATAATATATCCTGCTTCACAGTATTACCCACATACTTTTCCTTTATTTGAGAAACTTATCAAAGTTCCTTTATTATTATTTTTTTGTTTGATTTCCTGTTGGGATCTCTTTACCCATCATCTTGCAAGCAGTTTGACTTGTTACCCGGCTCGATCGGCTTGTATCTAGTTACTGACACATTTACGAACATTAATTTTTATTCAAATCTGTAAACATAATTAACTTAATATTGTTAACAATAAAGTGAAGTTTCGATATCATCGATGATCAGGTATCACCACACTGAGGCCATAAATGAATTGGCCAGCAGGGGAACGACGGCCGCAAAGTGGCAAAAGTGAATTGTGAATGCTTGAGCATCAAAATTTGGCGTTGGTAATGATTATTGGTCATTGTTTTCAATGTTGGCAGGTGCGACTGGATATACCGTTATAAAACTAAATGCAGCAGCTTAGAGTGGCAATGGACTAGCGCCACAAATTCGAATAAATGTACATAATTCCAAGAAATGTTGCAAAACACCTAGAAAAAAAATGGATCCAAAAATGCTGAGAAATTTTAGATAAAAAAAAAATTGCATACAACTTCAAACTTGAGCATATTCGTATACGTATTCGGGTACTTCGTTCCTTTTCCCTTGAAGCCAGCGATTTTCTTGCGTTTTTGTTTTTTCTTCGTATACATAAAACCATCTGTATGTATGTATGTATGTATGCATATGTTTAAATGAATCGCGATTGCCATTTTATTGAACACACAAAATTTATTTTCGTATAAATATTGCCAAACACGCCAACAATGCCCAGCAAACACCCCTGCGTGTATTAGCGCTTTTGAATTTTTTACCAGCTAAGCTAAGCGGCTGACTAAGCGACTTGCAAAATCCCAACGCACTGACCAAACCAAACAAAGCAAAAGTGTTTATCAATGATTATCACGTCCATGGAATGCGAGCGCCTTGTAGCGCATTGTAAAGCGTTTGCCGCCCAGCAAGGCATCGTAAGTAATGCAATTTTTGCTTCCCGCCTGCGTTCACCCATCAATAGGAGCGTAGCCCTTGAAATTTGGTAATGAGTAGCATTTTGCATTTTGAACTTGGACGCTAGCATTTTTATTTATTTCCATTTTTTATTAACTTTTTGTTGTTGGTTTTGTTGGTCAGTTGCCACGGCTATAAACAAATCGTGCTTTGGTTTTTTTAAAACCGACTTCGAGCCGCAGTTTCCCAAATGCCTCAAATGGCACACTAACAACCTATTTTCGAGAATTTCTATTAATCATTCCCTCCAGGGATTTTTTGCTGTGAGAAATTTTCGCCGCAAGCCAAACTGGCGAACGCAAAATTCCATCAATTGACCGAGANACGCTAGCATTTTTATTTATTTCCATTTTTTATTAACTTTTTGTTGTTGGTTTTGTTGGTCAGTTGCCACGGCTATAAACAAATCGTGCTTTGGTTTTTTTAAAACCGACTTCGAGCCGCAGTTTCCCAAATGCCTCAAATGGCACACTAACAACCTATTTTCGAGAATTTCTATTAATCATTCCCTCCAGGGATTTTTTGCTGTGAGAAATTTTCGCCGCAAGCCGAACTGGCGAACGCAAAATTCCATCAATTGACCGAGAGATGCGGAACTGCTGTGCTCTTTATGCGTTCAATTTTGTTTACCTTCATTTATGAAATGTGCACATAAATATTTTTGCAACTTTAGCTGCTTTCATTTTAAATCATTTTTTTTTATTTTCATTATAATTTTTTTTTTCTAGTAACGTCCGCTTTTGCGCAAACGTGTACATATTTTCGCACTTTCGTTATGCCCAAGTAGATATTTCACTTTAAATAAATTTATGTGTGCGCAAAAAAATTAGCAAAAACAAAACTGCCAAGACAGTTCAAATTACATATGTAAGTGCTTTATAAGTGAATGTAAGTACTTTTGTTTTTATTACTGTTATTTGGAGGGTCATATATGTATACACATGTACATATGTATGTTAATCTAAATTTGTGGCCAATTATTCTAGGCCCTTTAAACTGACTTATTTAAGTGTTCCGGATAAATTGTTATTTATTTAAACAATCCATGAAAGCAACATTATTTTATACATACACATCTACTATCGAATAAGCAACAAATACAGCCAATAAACCGCATTCATAGCTGCTTTATAAAATCAGCGCACACCGGTAGTAATCTTTGGATTAATTTAATGCTCTTAGTTAAAAGCAAGAGAACCGCCTGATAAGCTAAAACTGGTAAAAATTTGCAAATAGAAAGCTTAAGTTCAAGCTGAACTTAGAAATCTTTAAAAATGTATATTTGAAGTGCATACTTTCAGGCGAAATGCAAATCAAACTTAGCTCAACCGCAACCCAACTCGCTGATTGTTTGTATTTGCTATTGTAAGCAGTGTTGCCAGAAGTCAAGATTTATTTTCCAAAAATTTACACTCTTAGGGCAAATTTCAGATGAAAATTTAAATGGCAATTAAAAAATTTCAAGGAACAAGCACCAGTAGCGATTTTCCTATTATCCTATAATGAGGCAAGATACGCAAGGAATAATTCCGGGAAATCAGACGGAAACCTATCCAATAGTTTTTGCCCCAATTTTGAACAACGGAGATGACAAAATTTTTTTTTTAAGTTCCCTATGAAACTTTGTCATAAAGAGTAAAAACTCCTCCTCAAAAGCCAAAGACTCGTTTTTTATCTTTGTTTATTTCACATTTTTAATTATTTGGATATGAAGATCCTTAGTTTTTTTTTTGTAATTTAAGATTATGAAGAGAAATCTGGGCTTGAGAGCCATTAACCCATTGCATAAAACAGGCCCTAAATAGAATATATTAGTAAATGGTACGGCTTTTCTGAACAGAGTTTGTTAACGAAAATTTCCAAATTGGCTTTAAATTCCGGATTTTTAAATCGATGAAGTAACAGATAATTTCGATAATCTAAACATGGAAGCATTTCCAAATTTATTGGACAAATATGTATATGGAAATTATTGAATAAATGCCTAACGAAAAAAATTTAAATAAATAATATCCTATCTCTTTTGCATTCCATGCAATAGCGCATTTGCCGAAAGAGCTTTTTCGATCTTGAATGCAAAGTTCATTGTCAAAGGATATCGATGCTCCACTAATTTAATAAGAAACAAGTTAATAATAAATTTAAATGCGCTACAGTACTGTGTCGAATTTTGCAATTATATTAAAAACAACAGGAAATCAATAAAAGCGGAGAAAAGCTTAGAAAAGTTCTCGTTTAGAAATTAAATTTTGTTAGTTACTTATTAAAATATGTAACAGAGATAAAATTTACGTATGTACCTATGTTTGTTTTTTTTACTGCATTGAAATGTTTTTGTGCCATTCATAGAATGGCTTTCTGTTTTTTTTTATTATTAAAT